TCAACGCCAAACAAATGATGCGGATGGTTTGTCGCGCTTTTTTTAAAATTTTGTCTGAGACGAGAAAGTCTTCAAAGGTGCCGCGGACAAAATTTGCTTCGGGCAAAAACCAGGCAAAATCGATTAAATATACTATAATGAGTTTTTCTTGTCAATCATTTGTTGTAAAGCCATAATTCCTTCCATTAACAAAGGCAAGTGTTGTCAGATTTAAACGGCCCAATAGAAGTTAAAATATTTGTTTTAGATGTTTTAACGAAAATGCCTAATTTGCCTCTGCTAATGCAGATAAGCCCATAACTGGAAATGTGCTTAAGTGCCAATTTACGAATACGCATATACAATCATAAACTACACTATTTAGAAGTTAAATACAGGAAGCAGGGGCGTAGCTGCCTTTAAGACATTAAGCCCAGGCGTAACAGGAATTGAAGGCAAAACTATAAATGTTTGTTATCACGTATGCATAAAATATGCGGTTTTTATATCATTTACTTCTCGATCGAACTTAAAAGAGGAAATTCTAAAACAAACGTTCTTCCTTTAACAAAAAGGCAAGGTCTGTTTTTTTAGGCTTTGACTGCTGCTTTTAATTGTTACATCCTTCAGTGTTTGTTGGCTACAATTCTTTCTCTCGATAATGTTGGGACATTTTTTTTCTTAACAATGACCAGAAAACCCACCCGCCCAACTCATATCAACAATGCAACTATTAACCGTCATGACGTGCTGTACTGATCCGAACAGAGTTTCGTAACCGTTCACAGGGTGCGTCTTGATCTCACATGTCACCCGTTTAGCACCGACGTCATAGGATTTCTACTACAACCAGCAGGTGAAACACATTAACCTGACTCTCTCCCTGTAAAGAACTAAGCGTCACTCATTTATTTTTTTTGTTTTAGTACGCAATATTGACAACGCAATGTAACGAACTTTGTAAAATCGGCCCGCTTTAAATTCAACGGCGATTTCAAAATATGTAACACTGAAGATGACGGATGTACCGTCGAAACATGTTTAGAAAATTAAAGAAAGTTGTTATGTTTATAAACCGCGGCAGTGTTCGCTCAGTCGGTAAAGCGTGTGACTGCAGAGCGGGAGGTCGCGGGTTCGATTCCCGGGGCCGGACCAATACTCAGGGTCTTAAAATAACTGAGAAATGAAGGTACTAGCTTTGTACTGCAAGCGGCTAGACCTTCGCGTGACTCGGATGACCACGTAAAATGGCGGTCCCCTCTCCAGTAAGGGAAGTAAAAAATAGTGTCCCCAATTAGTACTTTAGTACTAAATACATTGACACTCAAATAAAGTGCATTTTTTTTCACATTCTAACATTCGCTATTATTTACAAGCGCACGCGCCTCATTTTTATGCCTATGACAATTGCCGGTAGCCCTACTAATAACGGTTTTCTTGATACTGAAGAAGGGTTATATACTCAAAACATCTGTTTCTTAAAAACATTTGACACTTTTTGACTTTTCAATGGAATATTATCCTATCCGCAACCCGTAAACCTAGATGAGATGTAACAGTTTTCACAGTTATACCCCGGTGTGGTTGTTAATCAGGGGCACCCAACGACAACTTTCGGAAAATATCTGTTCGGAAGACGATTTGAGATCTAGAATTTTGGGAACATTTTTTCCAAAATTTCTTGCTTGTCTGCCTCTCCTAGGATTTTCGAACATCTAAAAAATGGTATAATTGCCCATTTTTAACGGATTTTTACCCTAAAAAGGTCACCTACAATTTTCGGGAGCCTTTTCTCTGGCTGAAATTTTTGAAAAGGTAAGTTTTGATCCCTATAATTTTCGAATCACTAGACTTTCAGCTAGGAAATCCGAACAGAAGAAAAATTTTTAGGGGATAAAAATATGCCTTTATCTACCGTTTTAATACTAAAATACGTTTAACAATGCTGTTTAAGTGGTTTTGAAATATATTCTCGTTGGGTGCCCCTGGTTAATGGACGACACTATTTGCAGTAATGAAAATATTGCTATGTCATAAATTATGACTTAGATTGGACGTAGTTTGCAGGTGCATGGCTCTTTGTTGGTCCCTGGCTGTTCAAAACCTTTTTAACTGTTTACCGACATTTTATCTGCCTTCCTTTTCGTATACACGAGTAACAGTAATGACAATACAGTCAAACCTCTTTCATACGGACACCAAAGGGACAGAACCAAGTGTCCGCTTTACAGAGGTGTCCGTATTATGGAGGTAGGGAATGTAGGATTTTTGGAATTTATGGGACCAAACGAACTGTCCGTAATAGAGAGGTGTCCGTATTATAGAGGTTTCCGTAAGGAGAGGTTAGACTGTATATTATTTCGACAGTGCTTAATTTACATGTGATCAAAAGCACGCTGCACTGGAGGACAAATAATTTTGCAATTTACATGTTTTGAATATAAGAATAATAATTTGGTAGAGATAAGTGTACACTGGAACATTGAGCGCACTTGTTGTGATATCAGAAAATCAATATTCTAAATCCTAAAAACGATAATAAATTACTTTAGTATATACACACTCAGTGATCTTGGTGATTTAAGCAATCTGATTGGTTCGCTATCTCGGACTATTCAACAATATTCACCTCCTAGCGAGTGGATAATGTCTGAGCTCGGTGTTTTTCCCATTTTTTTAGAGAACAATCTTTTAAAAGTCGACAAAATCTTAGGGCTGACTTTTTTTTAAGGCAAGAAAAGACTTGGAAGGATTCAATACGGCGTTTTTCAATTTACTGTAGCTGAGTTTTGTGCTCGATGGATTGTTTACAACTCCCGTGTATCAGTATTCGCGTAGAAGAAGCCGTTTCGTGAAAAACTCAGCGTTATCTAACAAGGAAATTTTGGCTCCAAAATCGAAGTTTATCTATGACAAACAAATTTAATAGGAAATGCTAGCAGAAATTCTACGTTTCGAGTAAACGGGAAAAAGAATGATACAGGAAGACGACGTCTTACCTCGAGCAACCGAGCCGCCATTTTTGTCAGCACTTCATGCGAAGAACGACACAACAAACCCTTTTGGCTAAAAAACTTGGCGAGTCAACAGAAAACGACAAAGCTCTACTTTTCTTCTCAGGTAGGGAAACAGTTCAAACTTTTAGCGGTTCCATTTAAGCCATTACGCTGTTGTTTGCGAAATGACAAACTTGTGAATTGCCATGTTTGAAAATTCTGCGAAGATCTATTTTTAAACTTACGCGTGATTTGATCTGTCAATCAAATCGTGCTTTTTAATGGTTTCCTCTCTGATTTTGTTGAGATCACTTCGTGTGTATATACTAAAACAATTATTCTTTTCAATCTCGGTGAATAGTGGCTTTGGGAATATTTACCTCGCCGCTTTCGCGGCTCGGTAAATATTTTGCCACTATTCACCTCGATTTCAAAGAATAATTGTTAAATAACTTTAGCTTCTACATAATTATGTAAATTGGACATCAGACTGTTCTAGACAAGAAATACAGATTATTTTTCTACGTGGGGGTGAGCAACGTGAACCTGGGAGGTTAGAGACACTCTCATCTTATTAATTAATATTACTTTCCAGGAAAGTATAAAGTTTTGTCCGGTAAACAAGTAGTTGATGAATAGCGAAATTGGTTGTGGATTTTCCCAAAAAAATGTTTCTAGGTTATGTGTGTAAAATTGGCAGGATTGAACAAAATTTCCAAGATAAGGTATCTGTGAAAAAGATCTATCCTTCCTGAATTCGCCGCTTATCAACTAATCACTTAAAATATGGAGCTTAATAAATGGTTCAGAAATAAATAGTTTGCATCGTTCCAGAAAGAAAACGATTGACCAGATCCACTAGGTCCGTTGCCAAGGGTTAATAATGTGAAATTAAAGATCGAAACAGTTTTGCTATAAAAACAGCAACCTTAATGATATGTGAAAAAAGTTTGAGCAATGGGTAAGTATAAGACCAATTTCGAGAAAAATGCTGTGGGCGTCTAGTGGTCTTTAAATACATTGTAATGCAGGTCACTCACGGGCTGAAACATTCCCGGAAGCTAATGCTAATAGGCCAATAACGATACTTGCAGTCTCAAGAATCATGGAATACAGGAGCCGATTGGAATATGTATCATATGTCCGCTTAGTATTCTTTTGCTGCTTCCTTCGCAGAGGCACTTATGGCTTCGCCACGCGTGACAACACCCTAAAAAACATCCGAGCGAGAAGCTATATCCTTATGAGCTGCAACACAGTAGGCCCCACCTCATGGCACCAAAGACGGCCCATCGAAAGGCTTGAGTGCTATGCACCAGTGCCACACACCTAAACTTTAAGGCGCCTAAGAAGGAGCTGTTGTATGAAGCAGGTCTTCTTGTACATTACTGCAAACATTGAGTGAGAGACAAGACAAACTTAAAAGCAGTTGACACACGTACACCAACCCACCTCCTGGCCAGTTTGTCTTATTGGATTTACTGGCGCACAGATCGGCAAAAATGCTGATCCGCCTTCCCAGCGCATGCCGTGGGAGAACTGCCGTGTAGTTTCCCTCCAACAGCTCCCATACGTGTTGTGTTGAGCTGGCACTCAAAGGAGTGCTTTTTACTTGCCTTGGCAGGAAACGGCCTTTGAATGCGTGAGCTCTAATAAGGGTGAATAGCTTTTCATGGCTGCCACGACCTTGGTGATACGGCTGTGCGCATGCCTTTAGGTACTGGCCAGGCCGTGGGTTGATATACGGCACACGTGTGAAACTTGCTCTTACTTTTGTCTCAGTGAGAGTCAAGCCTGAACAAAAAGCGTATTTTCCACTCGAACTGGCCCATCTTGTCGGAAAGGTCTCAGACTGGAGTGTTGTACACTTCCTGCAAGTTGTGACTGTGGGAGACAACATGAACAAAGCCAATAAATTGAAAAGTAAAGTTGTTGACCCACAGTTTCTCGCACAGATTGTTTTGAAAGACGCGTTAAAGAAAATCTGCAACTCCGCGATTTCAGTGATTGCTGCATTAATCAAAGCTAAGAGGACAAAAACATAACGGTCGTGACAACCATAAAGAGAGTCCTACAGGGATCAAAGCTGCAGCCATTGTTGGTCGTTCTTTTGTTGAGATGGATTCCATGTTCGTCTGATGTCCGTGATACTGTCGTAGTCAAGTAGCCAAATTTTCTTGGCTTCACTTTTCTTGTGATAGTACAGTTTTGATGAGCTCCACAGTGTAGTTTGCACAATGCTCCATCAGGACATGTAAGATTACAGCCTCCACCCGTGCAATTATGCTGGCATTGCATTGCATTGCATTCCATGGTGCAATTACCGGCATCACAGAACTGCAGACATGATCGACAGTCACAAACTCCATGACAGCCTCCTCTAGAGCATTGCTGTGAAATCAAGTTTAAGACGTTTCCGACATTAGCGAAAACCGTTAGACAATTTAACTGTGAGAATTAAATCCGAATTCTACGTTTTCGTTGGCTAAAATATTTTTTAAGTCAAAATTAAATCAGAATGAGAGCATGGCCAGTATTGGCATTCTCTCGATCTGATTCCAGATTATTTCTCGCGATTCCCAGCTCGTATTGTAAAATAGGGAGCTTAAGCAACAACGTTTTTGAGCGACGCACGTCAACCGGAAGTGGCCTTTTTTCATTTTTTGACGGTGGTTTCGCGCAAATTTTCAGTCAAATCGCCTCTATAACAGTAAAGAAGCTAAGGAATACAAATTTTATATCATCAAGGTATGTTAAGAGGGAAAATACCTCACTTCCGGTTGACGTGCGTCGCTCAAAAACGTCGCTGCTTAAGCTCCCTAATGAAACCCGGCCCCTTCTCCGTTTCTCTTTGTCTTTTTTTTTTTTATTTAAGCTTCCTCACTCTTTCAGCTCTATTTAGACCCTGGATACGGGACTGTTGTCGGAATCTCTTCGCTCACTCAAACAGCAGAAGCAGCGAGGGATGATCCCGTTGATGTTAATATAAAGTAAAGATCACTGATCAATCCAAATATTCCATTTCTCCGCCCAACCTCATTCCCTCCCCGCCCAAGGAACGAGGTTCCTGAGGTTGCTCTTCGTTCAAATCGATCCAATCCAGGATCTGACGCTGCGCACGTCTGCCTTCGCTGGTTTAACCAATCAAATTAAGTCCCCTCAGACAACATCTCATTTCTGTAGTCTGTGCATCTGAACAATCCAATCACGAGACTTATTTACATATATGTTATAAGCGCTGTTTTATTTCTTACCCCGTTTCAATTAAGGATCATATATCTATTAAAGAAGCAGGACTGTAAAATTTTTGAGAAAGTAACCTCTATAGACAATCACCCGCTAGTTCCATATATTCCTTCAAAGAAAGTCTGTTCTTGTAATCGTCGTAACAAAGCAATGCGCCCGTCCTTATATTAATACTGAGCGTTTCATGTCTGCCTTTGTAAATAGATTAATATTTAAACACAATCTTAGTACAGTATAGTTAGGATTGTATGATTAGTTTATTTATTTTATTATGTATTACGGTATTCATGACAGTTGTAACATAGGATATGTTATGGTGGAAATAAAGACCATTGTTATAATTATTATTATTTAGTACCTGTACGCAACGATCCCTGGCTTTGCAGGTCATGTTACAGTTTCCACCCTTGTCACAGCGTTGTACGCAGGAATTGGAGGTACAGGACTGATCACATTTTCCGTCGATGGAGCACGACTGCTCACATCTCTCACCTGTGGTGCAATGTTGAAGGCATCGCCCCTTGCATTTTTGATAACATCTAAATTCTGATGTACAGTTTTGATGGCAGCCTCCACCGTTGCAGTACTGATAGCCCTGTTCTTTAGCGCGGATTAACATCCTCTCGGCCCCTTCCAGCTATGAATAACATACAAAAAATATTAGTCGTTTCAGGGAAACATTTTCGGAAGCAACGGACCGTTTGATAAGGTAAACTTGTTTTCCTGAGCGGAATTTTCCAACGGAAATTCGTGTTGCATTTCTTCGATCGATCAAAGCCATCTTTGACAACAGGTTCAGGCTGCAGGGGCCTTTTTTCGGAAAATGAAACTGATTTGTACAAATTGAAACGGGATTCCGGAGTGAAATTTACCAGTCCTGAATTTTTCTTACCATTTACCCTAACCGTGAACCAACCGGTTTGTCCATGTAAATGGTATCCATCCTCAACCTACGAGTAATAATTAATCCCAGGGGGTACTCAACAAATTTTTATACGGGGAGGCTCCGCCCCGAGGTCCAACCCCTTACCCTTCTATACACCTATTTCAATTAAGGTTGCTTGTGAGAAGAATGATGCATGATCCATGTTTTATTGTAGCAGGTATAGTCAATTATGTGCCCGCAACGAGCATAGAAACCTAGAAAGCAAACGCTACTAACGCTTCTATGCTATGCCAGCAGAACGTTAAGAGAATGTATTTCAAAACACTGAATCCTAGGCTTTTTGATTTAAGACGGTGATTTGAGGTTAGGTTTTCCTCTGTGGTAATACGCAAATGCTGCAAATTTTCAACGAGTTTGTTTGACTCGTGCACATAGGAATTTTGGATGTAGTTGAAAAAATCTAATTAAAGGCGTTTGTCGAACAGCAATGAATAACTAACATTACGTGTTTATCTATTTTTGAGGCAATTATTTTAAAACTGAGTAAAAAGAAAAGAATAGCATGGATTTGCTTTATTAAAATAACCAGCATTTTAGGCTGACCCATACAAAAACGCAGCTTAATCTGGCGGTAAAACCCTATTCAATTAATGTTGTTAAAAGAAGAGGCTTCTAATTTTTAGCCATGAGATTTTAAAAATGAAATTTTTCAGCTAGCTCATGCTTAAGAATTTTAGCAGCCATTTGACTTGAAAGCTGTCTTGAACACCTTCTCACAAATGGTCTCCATTATTTCAAGGAACGTGAACAAGACTAAGCTTCCGCTACAAAAGTGGTTTACCATAGTGTACTGCAGGCTATGAAACATGGTTCACGGGAGAAACCTTAATTGAACTAGGTGTATACCATTTTTCACGAAAACGGTACCCCTTTCGTATACCTTCTACTGACAAATGGTACCCCTTTCACATACCTTAAGTTGTCTAGAACTCTGCATCCCTTTTAAACGCTGTAAATGCACTGTCGCTTAAATAAGAATCAATCACAAAAATAGAACGTTTTCTCGACATTAAAAAGCCTCAAAATTCATCTGATAGCCCTTTGGGCCCTTTCACAGACCCGCATGACAGATTTCCCTTCTCTTTCGTATACCTCAACGAGTAAAGTCCCTACCCTTTTATATACCTGAAGCCTGAAAAGATACCCTTTTCAGGCGGAGCCTCCCCATATAAGCCATTATAGGGAGTAGCCCCCGGTAATGAATATTCTGTTTCTGTTGAGAAGGGTGTTAGGGGGATAAAACTAATCTTCCGCCCTTAAGTTTGATTTGTAAAGGAAGTGTAAGGCCCACCTGTTCGCATGATTTTTCTTTACTATGGCATTCAACTAATGGACAGAGCGATGAACACTGCTGCACACAACTGTTCTTGGTTCTGCATTTCATTCTACACTTTCCGCCTGTACAGGACTGAATGCAATCGTCTGTGGCACATCTCATTGGACATTCGCCATCGTCACAGTTTTGATCACATGAACGCTTAGCACGGCAGAATGTTGGGCAGCTGCCTTCCCAGCATGACTATAACGTTGGGTAAACAATATAGGGTCATTGCAGTATAAATAGAAGAAGGAGTTGGGCGAGTTGGTAGGTTAGAGTAAGGAGGCAGGGGACTAGAATTCTTGAGCACATTTTCTGTTTCTGTATCTGCACTCTGGTCACAGGTTAGATGATAGTTTCTCGCAAAGTAGGAAAGAAAGAGGAGAGATGAAGGGAAAAGAGGAGAAGGAAGTAATTAGGAGGATCGAAGATAAGGTAGGAGAAAAGTGATGTTTCTTGATGTTGCCGAAACCATTGCTGGTTTGCTTTTATGGTGTGGTGTAGGTACTGTTCAGTGTCTTTTTCAATAATGTGTATACGTTAATTGGTGATTAAGCTCGTTCGCAACACCAAGAAACTACCGAGAAAACGGATTAGGGATCGTCCTTTTCCGTCCCGTTTCTGCGCTCCTGTCGCAGGTCAGATAATGGGCTCCTAGCTGGTATAAATGGCAAAAGTAGGAGAATAGGAAAAAAAGTACACTTTACAACCTCTCTGTCTCTAAATTTGCCAACATAAGCAAACACTTATCAGAAACACTCCTCAGCTTTGTCGATATGGAATTGCGCATGCGTAAGATACTTGTTCGACCGCCGCGAGTGTGTCACCTGCTATAATTTTTGTCTAATCCAAATCAATGTCTTAGAGCCCTTTTTGTGTTCTGTCCTAGCCTGTTGTTGGAATAACCACTTCTCGGTTTCCGTTCCCCAACACCTGCGGCAGGAGTCAATGCCGGTTGTGAGTCAAGTTATTAGGTAAGCTGGGGTTATGGTTTGAGGTTAGAGTTACTGGGTAAGGTTAGGACTGGGTGACTCATTGACTCTTTTACACCTCATGTCCTGTTTTTTTTTTTGATCACGTGTCAACAAAACGATGTTTTAACAAAAACCCAATAGCCCTGGCGAAAAAACAAAAACGGCGTTATCTTTTTTTAAAAGACAAATTTTCTCACTATTTTATACTAAATTAAAGTGCTTCCATACTCACCTGTTTACATCTCTCACTAGTTTTGGCACATTTAAGGTGACACGATCCTGCATTACACAGCTGTTTACAGCGAGAAGTCGCTCTACAACTCATGTTGCATATTCCTTCATCGCAGCGTTGAGTGCAGTCGGCTGTTTTGCAAAATACTGATCCACAAGTCAGCAGCGCTTCACAGTCCTGATGACAGGTCTCCTTGGTAACGCATTTCAAATCGCACTGCCCATGATCTAGGCATGTTTGTTCACATGACTTAAGTTGGGGATCGGCTTGTCCGCACGACATTTTGCAGTCTTCATAGCACTTTTGTCTACAAGAGGCCTTCGGTGATGAATCTTGACATTTATTGACCGTAATTCTTGCCTTAATTAACGTCACCATACTAAGAAATAATGATACATTTAACAGCAACTCTTGAAACCGTGTCATATTTTCAGGTGTTTATCTAGAAAAGAAAAATATATAATATATTTTAATATATGGTGAATTCTAATAAGGCTTTTTCTGAGGCCTAGAAACTTCACGGAAACAATATTCTGCCTGCACTCACGAACTCACTTGTCACAAGTCTGTTCGGTGAACATAATTTTGCTTTTAAAAAAAGGAACAGCAGTTTTACGTAGGAAAAGTGTGACCTGTTGTTGTGACAAATCGAATTCTTATTGACATTTTGAAGACAACCTTTAATATTTGAGAATCTTCTTGTAACATAATTGCTAACAAGCAGCCTCGACGCGACAAGACGCGAGGCTGCGAGGCGGCAGCCTGATAAAGCTGTGGGCGAAAGTTCCAAGTAGAATGAATCTCGAATCGATGTAACGTGAGGTAGTGTAAGGTAACCTTTATGACTTAATGCAGAACAGAGAATGCATTGTTTACTAACGAACACGTGATATAGAACAGAATCCACGAGCCGTGTGCGTGTTTGTGAGTCCCCTGCTCATCCCGTCTTCAACCAATCGTCGGGTGGATTTATTTGCATCAGTGACGCGTACAGCTGTCGCATTTGCCCGCTGGGATATTTTAATTCCTGCCGCTAAGAAAAAATAATAACGCCTTGTGTATTTGAAGCAAAATAATTTGGAAGGCTTCATCGGCGCACCATTTATCTTTTTATTCCCTGAAAAGTAGACTTCCTGAGCTTTAAAAAGAGACCAAATAATTATAAATCTGTACGTAGAATATTGGCAGTTGATTTTTCGAGGATATTAAGTTTGCTGATAAGATCAGTAAATTTTACGCAAAATGACCTGTGCGCAACTTCTGCAGAATTGGCACAAGCTAAAAGGGGTCAGCAGGGAGATAAAGGGACACAAGCCAAAGGGTAAAAATACGAACAAAGAAAAAAGACAGTCGGCTCTACAACAAAAGAAAAAAACTAGCAAGCAAATCTTGCCTTTTGTCACAACATACCACCCATCGGTGCGTAACCTTAAAAATATAGGATGTTTACCGGTTTCTGGGTAATCGGGTCCGATTTTTTTCAGTCGGACCCGAATATTAACTCGGACCCGATTTCATTTAATCGAACACGATAACAAATCGGGTCCGTTTTCTAGTCGGGTCCGATATGTTTCAGATCGGATTCCAAAACTAATCGGGCTTGAATTTTGTTAAATCGGGCCCGATAAAGTAATCGGAGTGGCTTTAAATTAATCGGGCCCGAATTGTCTTAAATCGGGCCCGATTTCTGAATGTCTGATCCTGTCAGAGGGAAACTCAATCGGGTCCGATTTCTCGGTAAATCGGACTCGATCGTTTTGACAGTCAAAATGGGGGAGGGGGAGAGGGTAGATAGAGAACATCTTCAAAGTACGGAAAAAGGTATATTTTTCAAAGGAAAAAGTAACGGAAATGTTTCTTCATAAATAGAAAGGTGGAAGTTATTATCTCGTCGCTTCTCGTCCCTAGGAAAAAAAAAAAACAAAACAAACCAAAAAAGACAGGTGGTAACGTAAAATAACCACTGGTAATTCTCATGACGGAGAGGGCTGCTTAATGTTTCCGCCAACCTGAAGATGTCTCAGTTTCACCCCGGAAAAAATAGCCGCGTGAATCTGAAGTTAAGTTATTAGGCTGAGGAATACATGAGTGTATCAGGTTCCACTAACGCTCAGCAAGCTTACTTGAAACTTGATTCACTTAGTTTCCAAACTCTAATCAGAATTCGGGGTGGTGTTTGATTCCGCGTTTTCCGTAAACCCTTTCATGGCCATCTAGGCCATTCTCCCTAAAACTTCGCGAGTTTCTGCCATACGGTAAAAGCATGTGATACTAATAGCTTCGCTAAAATTATGATTGACCACAATCAATGAAAAGAAAAAGGGAAAAGGATTTTAAAACTTAGTCTGGTCTTTAATCAAAGGACAAATTTTGAATTTTATCTATTTACTTTTTTGAAGGGGTTTTGGGGGAGGGGCAGGATTTGTGTAATTGTATCCTGGCTCAACTCTGCTTAACGTATATAGCGATTAACTTCCCACTAAAGATGGTGTCTATACTTGATTGATTGTTTGTTCCTTTGTCAAAAGGAAAAAATATCCCTTTATTTTTCTCCC